GACAAACAAAAAAGATTTATTTTTATTAATGAATAAAAAAAAATTATTTCTGTCTGAATTTTTGGAGTTTGGAGTTATGATTATTTAAACTGTTTACAAGCAAACCATTGTCCTCATCTTTGTTGCTACTATCAGCATTTTGGACAATGTTGTCTCCAGCCTTCATCAAATGTACATCACTCTGGTTAACCTACAGAGAATTCCAAACTGAACCCTTTATTTAATATATGGGGGCACATTGTTCTTGTCCAACTGAAATATCTCATCTAATTCTTATTTTTATTACTGCTCAGTTATTGCTTGCCCTTTTTCCACTGAGTCCAAGTATATACTGTCCATCCCAGGGATTGAACTCACAATTACTGTCACCAAATTCATGAACCAATGTTTTAATCTGCTAGGCTATTGTCCTGTGCATTGTACTTGTAAAATATCAAAACCTTGCACTTCAATTTTCGTTTATGTTCAATACTTCCTGAATATTAAAACTAACAGATCTCAACAGCTGTTAGGGAGATGTGATTAAATATACTTTAATGTTTAAAAAATATTTATTCATTATTATTATTGTTTAGTCAATAAGCATTATAACATAGCACAAATAGCTATATTGTGGGAAAAGGAATTTTCGACAATATACGCATTTTTTTATATATTTATGGTTATTTTTAAACTTTTATCAAAAACGAAATTCTTGTACATGTAGTTATGTATAATATTATACATTAATTACTAACTTTTTAAAATTAATAACTATTTGTGTTCAGTTGTTGACATTAATAGCTATCTGTTGATGTGTTAAAATTTTGGAATAATGCAATAATAAAAATTTAAATTTCATCTCTCTGATAGATGTTGTGACCTGTAAACATAAAATTAAATAAATCTAACAATTGATCCTCTGCCTTGACACAATAAATTCCAATAATTATAATAAAGTAGTTTTTAAGATATCCAGGGTGTGATGGGTAAATTGTCGCCATTTTACATTTTTAATTTTGCGCATGCACATTCTTTGTTTTTAATTATAGCATAGCAGAGTCAGTTGGGCACCATCTGTGAGAAAAAGACTGTTTCTTTTCTCGCACTTCTCATGTGTGGAACTCTCTTCCAGCTTCTTACTTTCCAGTAAACCTTGATCTTCAAAATTTCAATCATTATCTTCTGTTTTTTTAATTTCTGTTCTTTTATTGTTTTCACTCATTGATAATGCTTTTCTTGTTCTTATATTCTTTCACACTCAGTAACCCCCTGCATCTTGGTGGCCTTGCTTAGGGTGAAATGATTACAAGAAAAAAAAAGAAATAACAATGTCTACTTTGTGATACCCCATACAAGGCCCAAGAAACACTTAAGGTAGAGAGTTACTGAATAAGGTTTATGGATACAAGAGAGAGAGAGGTTAAGTGTAGATCATGATGATAAAGAGGATAGATAAAATTGTGATCATGTAAAACAACCTTCTGAGAGCCTATTCCACAAAGTAGGAGTTCTTGAGAAGAAGCTGTTTTGAGTGGAATTTCCTCCTTAGCAATAGAATATGAAGAGAATAAGAATGATTCAACTCTGTGTACATATTGTGTGATAGCCGTGAAGGTCTGAATTAGCAGAACTAAGGAATGTAACTTGTCAGAACCTTTTTCAATGAGATAGTGATAGGTTTACAATGTTTCATCAGTATGGAAAAGGAGCTGTAAAAAGTCTGCAATCTGACCAAGAAGTCCTTCTGCAAAAAACTCTGAAAATTTGGTCAGGCTGAGAACTTTTCACCAATTTTCAATATTTTTCAAATACATGTTTCTCTGACTTAAATCTTTTTGATTTATTTATAAATCATACTTATTATAAAACCCAGGTGTGTGTGTGTGTGTGTGTGTGTGTGTGTGTGTGTGTGTGTGTGTGTGTGTCTGTTCGTTTATATATTGGATCGGATTTCTTACATTTTTCAACCGATTTTAACAAAACTTCACAGGACTATGTGAAATTACCTTGCAGTGGTTCTGACAGTACCAAAATTGGAAAAACACAATTGTTTTTGCACGAAATCAATTTGAAAACATGATTAAGAGGCATCGCTATTTCGAGAATGAAAGGGGGACAACTCATATCGAGTTATACTTATTATAAAACCCAGGTTGTGTGTGTGTTCATTTATATATGGGATCGGATTTCCTACATTTTTCAACCGATTTCAACAAAACTTCACTTTTTTTTTGCCACGTAGTGTTTCTTATTGTCTTGCACACTTTTTTCTTTATTTTTACATTCAGAATGCTTTAAAAATTCCATTTACAAGACAATTGATTATAATAAAATTGAAAAATTCTATTCAATCGGTAGACTCATAACGATTGAAAACAATGTTTTTGTTTGAGTTTGGGTTTGACCAATTCATAAAAAAAAACAACAAAACAAAACAAAAAAACTAATTAAGATATGCGTGTCCGTCAACCTTAAACAATAATCTTTGTCAATTTTATTTTTCAGTCTTTATGATGGTCGATACTTGATCTATCTCTTACTGTTACATCCCCGGGTAACGCCAGGCTCTACTGCTAGTAAGAAATATTTATGAATAAAAATTTGCTTCAATTATCTTATATCCATAATAAAAACTGATGCACCCAAAAGTGAACATATTTTTAAAATGGACAGCTATTATAAGTTAAAAACGTTCATCAATTTCATTATTTACATGCAGACTATTGTCCTCATCTTTGTTGTTATTATCACAACTTTTCAGCTGTTGTACTTTCTGGCCTTCGTCAAGAGCTTGCTAATCCAAGTAACTTTCAGGGAATTTCAAACTGAACATTTTATTTAATCTCCAGAGGTAGATTGTTTCCTTAATGCTAACCATATCCAGGGATATCTTATCTTGTCCTTTATTTTTAATAACAACAAAGAATAAATCTGTAGTCTGCCTGTAAATAATGTTAACTCCACCCCACTCCAATTTTTTTATCTTTACTAACTTCGATTTCAAAGATTATTTCATGTATTCAGCTAATCAAAAGTTTTTATATATTTGGATATATATCATGTCCACACTTAAAGACTATCTATGAATCCACTATATCATTAATACTATTATTATTATTATATATTAGGGTGTATCAAAAGTATTTTCATTTTTTATAGCCCTTTACTCTAAAGCTTATTTCATATACGCATCTAAAGATTATGGCCCTATTTTAATATTATTATTATTGTTAGGGTGTATCAGATCTTTACTTCAAAGGTTTTCACTTACACATCAAATGATTGTTGTTTCAATCTTGTTGGGAATGACTGAAAAACATTTGCCCCTTCCTTTTATAGGCAGAAGTTCACAAATGCATACTGGGATATTTTTCTTGGCCAATAAAATAGGCCAGTTTGCAGTCCAGATCTGCCTTGTTTAGAAAACAAACTGCTATGTTCGCTTGTCCAAATTTGCTTTTATATGTCAACACCAATTCTTAGTTTGTGAACTTTTTGCTTTTTTACCTGTTAATTTGTCTTTCATATATTGTTTGTTTGCTTGCTTGATATTATTTCATTTTTGCCCTGTTCTTTTTTCTTTTTATTGCAAACTTTGTTAATTCTGTTTGTTGGACAGTTCTGTCCTTTATTTTATATTTGATCAGGGCTACACAATCTTATTAATATTATTATTTTTATATATCCTTATCAATACTGTTCTGCTTTACCTTGTGTTCCTAATTTAAACTTTGACCTCAAATCTTGTGAACCTGATCACAGAATTTGGAAGGTGGAAGGAAATGACACAATATCTGACATTCCTCCCAAAACTGCTTCAAGCATTTTAAAGGTGCTGCTGCTGATTTGTCTCTTCAAATGTAAAGTAGACGTGAACTTGAACCCCCTACCTCATCAGCACTTGAAAATGTCCAGAAGAATGTCATCAGAAATATTGGTTCCAATCCTACTTTGGAATAAGTAAAAAAATATTTTCCCCTATACAACTTATAGGCAGAAGTACACAAATGCATGCTGGGATTTCTTCCTAGCCAATAAGATAGGTTGCGTGTCAGTCTCATCTGACTCAGTCCTGGTCTGTCTCGTCTTGAAGTCAGAACACTATGTTTGTTTATCTGAATTCACTCTTATGTGTCAACACTAATTCCTAATTTGTGAACTTTTTGCTGTATTGCTGTTAATTTGCCTTGCGTGTATTGTTTGCGGTTTGTTTTGCCCTGTTCTTTTCTTTTTTCTTGTTATTGTTTATTGCAAAATTGTCAACCCTTTTTGGCAGTTCTGCCATTTGCATTTAACCATGGCCACTTATACTTCAGGAAGATACAATATGTCGATAACATACGGACACTCTTCAAAGGTTAAAAAAGAAAAATGTTTTTGGCATTCAATAACTGGTCAATACTGAATCAAAGAACTAATCACTTTTTATTTTAATGACATTTTTTTTTTCATATATTTAATAAGTTTTATTTTTTAAAAATCATGATTGTTGTTGTTGTTGTTGTCAGCTCCTAGCATTGGGACCATCATCCTCACTCCCTATTCCATTTCTCTCCTCTGGGGGCAGTGACAGAGATGGCTGTGAATCAGAGTTTGATGAGAATATTCCTATGGATTTTGGTGTGATGAACAAAACCCATACACTTGGCCAGAAGTGCCTCCCTCATGACTCAATGAAGATTGAGACAGGCAAGGGTCAGTTGCATCAGGCTGTCGGATGATTGGTCTGTCAAAATCTGGCTTGGATACATCAGCCCGACTGCAGTCTTCCACTAGTTTGCCTGTGTAGATTTACAATATTCAATTATTAAAATACATTTTTTTTTAAGTTGATGTATCAATTGTTTTTTATTTTATTTTTAAAATAAGTATTTTAACAAATTTACTTACTTTATTAAGAATGTCTATTATCATCAGGAATTGTTATATTAAGTACATAACCATGATTACGTATTATTAAATTATTTATTAAATTATTTAAATTATTAAAACTAAACTATTTTCTTTGTTTCTGTCAGGTTTAGATTTTATTCGAGCAGAAGGATTTGTATTTTCACACATAGCTGATGAAGGATTAATGAATTCTTGTGCCGGTTCTTTAATGCGTTACCGTAAAAAAATCAATGCTGAAGACATTTTAGTCTTTACAGACATCAAGAAAAAGCACAGGTAAGAGAAAATAGTTTACACATTGAAAAATAACGCTGTCAGCCTCTTTTATCCATGCACAGCTTTGTCAAGTCTCTTCAGGTGAATTGAAGCAGTACTGGAAATGTGCAATATACGTTTTTGAAGAGTACACTGTAATTCTATCCATGCAATTACGACTGTAAAAATAACAGGGATACTTCTAATAATAAACTCATCAAATGCTGGCCAATGGGTCAGGCATAGTTTAGGAACTGAAACGCCAATGCCACCAAACCAGAGGCCTCAAAGAGAACTTTTCTTGTCTACTCAGTGAAACCTATTGACTACATTCCTTACAGAGGGATAAGAACTCCTGAAAGGAACCATCTATTGGGTGAGTGCTTGAAAACTAAGCAATGTTAACACTCGCTGTTTATAGACTCAAGTATAAAAAATGACCACTGGCTGCCTATAAACCCACTGTCTCCCTATAAACTTGAGTATGTAAAGGAGCACTGTCTCCCTATAGACTTGAGTATTAAAAAAAAGGATCACTGGTTGTCTATAAACTCTGTTACAATTTGATAATGTAAAACTGAGATCAGATATCATCCTACTGTTTTGTGTTCACTTTTGCACTAATGCCCTTGGGAAAGGCATGAATCCATCACTTCTCCTTCCAAATTTGGGTTAAATGGCAGGGTCATTTGAGCTTCTTAGTCTTGGGGTGTGAACTATTTGAGAGAAGGACAATGAATACAAAACTGTGGAGAGCCATGATCACCGACATCCTGAAGGGACATGACATTGAAAAAAGAAAAGGAAGTAGTAGAGAGTTATGATCGCCTACATACTGAAGGGACATGGCATATAAAAATATCTCCATAATCATGATGTTTTTCTACTTGTTCAGGACTCTTTTATCCTACTGAACCTTATGACACCATACATCTTACTTATTGTAAAACGCAGATTCTGTGTGTGTGTGTGTGTCTGTACGTTTATATATTGGATCGGATTTCCTACATTTTTCAACCGATTTCAACAAAACTTCACAGGACTACGTACAATTACCTTGCGGTAGTTCTGACAGCGCCAAAAATTGGAAAAACACAATTGTTTTTGCACGAAATCAATTTGAAAACACGATTCTGTCACCAGAATGAAAGGAAGACAACTCATATCGAGTTATACTTATAAAACCCAGGTTGTGTGTGTGTGTGTGTGTATGTGTATGTGTGTGTGTGTTCGTTTATATATGGGATCGGATTTCCTACATTTTTCAACCGATTTCAACAAAACTTCACTTTTTTTGGCATGTAGTGTTTCTTATTGTCTTGCACACTTTTTTCTTTATTTTTACATTCAGAATGCTTTAAAAATTCCATTTACAAGACAATTGTTTATAATAAAATTCTATTCAATCGGTAGACTCATAACGATTGAAAACAATGTTTTTGTTTGAGTTTGGGTTTGACCAATTCGTTAAAAAAAAATAAAACTAATTAAGACATGCGTGTCCGTCAACCTTAAACAATAATCTTTGTCAATTTTAATCTTCAGTCTTTATGATGGTCAATACTTGATCTATCTCTTACTGTTACATCCCCGGGCAACGCTGGGCTCTCCTGCTAGTCACCATCTAAAACTCAGATGGTTTAAGTATTGCTATGTCACAAGGCACTGGTTTAAGTATTACTATGTCACAAGGCAGTTGAAGATTTTAAATATTTGATCAGAATGTCTACTACCAACTCTCATGCATATACTGTCTTCAGACCAAAGTTGGCATCAAGACTTGGAATTTTATTTTTTCCTCAGCAAAGTGGCTCCAAGACTGGACAAAGGCTGCATCTATATCGAATTGTTATTCTCACACTATGAACCAACAAAACCTGGATATATTGTGAGGTGTTGTTGAGGTGCCCTGATTTTATGGTAATGACGTTTCAATTTCAAAACCCCATTTGACCCTAGGGTCATCATTTGATGAAGCCTTTGTTGGTGGTAAGATTACTGTTTGTGAAGTTATAGTTGTATCAACTTGTAGATTTAGACAGTGTTTCTCGATAAATGTTTGGATATATTAATTATTATAAATGCTTTGCTTTTTCTGAAATTTAATTATTTCAAAATTAAGAGCAAATGTTACATTTTTTTTCTTTTTACAAAGATGTTCACCCTGTACAAGGCTTGAGAGCCACTTGAGGTAGAATTTACCGAGAAAGAAGCACAGTTTATGCAGATATGTGGGGAAGATAATAGTTAACCCTAGACTTGAGCAGGTTATGATCAGTGATTGGGGAAAACATCCTCTTGGGATTTGGTTCCACAGAGCAGGTAGAGGGTTAAAGAGTAAGGGTTACAGTTTATGTGGATATGTGGGGAAGATAACGGTTAGCCCTACTCTTGAGCAGGTCAAGATTGTAGTGATCTGGGAATCATCCTCTTGGGAGTTGATTCCACAAAGCAGTGACGATTGAAAAGCATTTCCTTCAGCATAGCTTTTTTTCTTTTATTTTAGTGGACTTGAACACCATTAATTAGTTTCTTCAATTGGATGAGATTCGTGATTCCTTTACACTTAGATTTCAAATAAACTTAAATTTAAATAATTAATTTCTTTCCATCTTTTCTGTCTGTGTGACGAGCATTGTAGCATGAAGAACTCAATTTACCATAATGCTGTTTTCCATTACATTATAAGCAAAAGGAAATACTACAGGTCGCAACTCCTATTAGCAACTGCAGTTTTCAGTTAGAATTACCATTTTAGTTGATTGCATTGTCTTTCATCTGCCATTGATTGCTGCAAGCCATGGAATCAATTTTAATATCTTATTGAATCAATTGCTAAGTCTGCTGCTAGGAAAGTTGATTCCCTGTGTCATGCAAAACAACTTTTCTCTCCCAAATCTATCTTACATATTTATAAGTCTACCATTCATTCATGCTGCCACATATGGTCTGGAGTTCCAGCTATATTTAGATATTTTTGATAAAATCCAAAGAAGAATTTGCAATAGAATTGGTCCTGGCCTGACATCTCGGCTTCAGTCACTTTCCTACCAATGTAATGTAGCTTTCCTGTGCCTATAAATACTTTTCGCTATGCTGCCTAAACTTTATGAATTTAGGCACAGTACTAGATTGGCAGCAAGGTCTCATCATTTCACAGTTGAAATAGCTAGATGTAACTGTAAGTTCTATGATAACAGTTTCTTCTCTCGCACTTCTCACTTGTGGAACTCTGGCTTATTGCTTCTCAGTGAACATTGATTTTCAAAAATTTAAATATCTTCTGTCTTAATTCCTGTTCTTGTGTTGTTCTCTCTGTTTAATAATATTCTATCACATTCAGTAATTCCTTGTGTCTTAGTGGATTTATTGCCTTGCTTGGGGTTAAATGATTTAAAGAAAACAGAAAGCCAATGTCTCGGCTATTGATGCTTGCCTCTCTACCTGGTATGTACCTGGATAGCCGATGCCACTCCACATTTTTGCCATTGAGGTTTTCCTCCTTTAGGTGACTATGGTTTTGTCAAGCTCCTACCCATTGTCTGATCATAGAAGCATGCAAGCAGCTCCATTATGTCAAGGCACATAATTCTGAAGAGATTTAGTTTATGCTGATAAAAATAATTACTATTAGATCAATCGTAGTTGAGGTCCATTCATTTTCTGATCAAACATTTTTCTTTCATTTGGAAAATGTTTTGTTGTTGCCTGAGATTAAGAATCTAAAGTTTAATGGATATGGATGACATAGAGAGTTTCTCTTTCTCTCTCTTAGTGATATGTCCCTTCGGGACATGAGAATTTATTCCTCTCCACAGCTTCCTATTTTTTTGTTACTTTGGATATAAAATATAGTTGATGTAAAATAATAATGTCTCAAAAATGAAGCTTTTTTTTTAATGCAGTTTTTATTTGAAGTTATGCAAAATCATTCTCTGGCATGGACCACAGAATGAGTCAATCTTACCCCATAGATTGAATAAAATGTTTGCTTTGAAATTCCCAGGTTACCAATTATGGCAGACATCTACAATAAAGAGTACAATAAAGAAAACATTATGACTATAACAACCAAGATAGAGATACTTATTAAAGTAAATCACTGTGTAATAAGTATCTCATGTAGATGATAATGTAGGAAACATCAAAGTTAAACATTATTTATACTCTGACTATTGTCTTCATCTTTGTTATTATCAGCTGGCCTTCTTATATCTAAATTGATTGATGCATTCATTTGTTTTTTACAGCTTATCAATCTTCTTTAAGGTTATTTAAAGCCAGAAAATATTTTTAGACTAAGAATTTTAGGGCGATAGTAATGATTTTCTAATACAAGTCCTACTAATTAATTTGTAGCTGGGGAGGGAGAAGAGGTGGTTTTGTACCTTTCTCAAGGGTACACTTAAGTGAATATAACAAATCCAACTAGAATTGGAACTCGGTTCTCCAATTTCCAATTCCAACATATTCATTACACCACCTGCACATCCAAGTTTACAGCATCTGGTATTCCCAAGTGGTCACCCATCTAAGTTCTGAGCAGACTCAGCATTGCTTACTTCAGGGATCATATGAGAACCAGTATTTCAATCTGATATGACCATAAAATGTCTTATGTCTAGATAAGAAAAAATATTTCTGTTTTTTGAAAAAAACACTTTCATTGAAGAATTTTCCCTTACTAGGAACAGATGAAGTATATATTTTTTCCCTATTTCTTTTAAATTATTAATCATTGTGAATGTCTTTTTGAAATTCCTCTCAACAAAATGATACTCATGAACACAAAGATTGTAAATTAGACATTTCTTAATTTCTGTCTGGGAAAATTTCTGAGTTATCATTATTTTCATTATTTACAGTTTGACTAATATCCTCATCTTTGTTGTTTTATTGGCCATTGTGCTTCTTCAAGTGATTGTTGATCCAGGTAGTTTTAAAGGAATTTCAGACAGAACACTTTATTTAATATATTGTGGTAGGTTGTTTGTATTCCATGTCTAGGGATATCTTATCTTGTTCTCTTTTTACTACTGTTCAGTTATTGCTATGTCAATCTAGGTAACCTGCAGGGAACTTTGAACTGAACACTTTATTTAATGAACAGGGATAAATTGTTCTTGTTCTGTTGTCCATGTCTAGAAATATCTCCTCTTGTTCTACCCATCACATTAAATTGTATTTACTCCCACTCTAAATTGTCTACTCCTACTCTAATATCTGTCTAGTCCTTCTTAATTGTTGGTGTTCCCAGGTCCACTCTGACCCAGGGTGGTAGCACCTGTTAGGGTTCCTGCTATGGGCAAATAGTTAACCCCCAAACTGGGGTCAAAGCACTATGAAAGTGTAAAAATAGGTTTTAATAACAGCAATAGATTTTGTAAAAATATTACCAGCAATGAATTTTTGAAGAAAAAAATTATTATTAGCAATAAATTTTTGAAGAAAAAAATATTAGCAGCAATACATTTTTGAAAAAAAAATATTACTAGCAATAAAAATCTTGTCGGCATTAAATATGCCATTGAGGTTGATATGCCGTTAAACAAACCAAACCAAGTCAAGCCAAGCCAAACCTGTTTACCCCACTCTAATATCCATCTATTCACACTTTAAAGAAAAAGTTATCTATAAAAAGATACTTTTTTTTTTACAAACAGAAAAATAAAAAAAAATTATTTCTTTAAATCTGAAAAATTGCTAAAAAATTTTTATAATTTAAGGATGATTTATTTTTATTGTAGCTGGCCAGTTGAACAGGCAATAAAATATGATTTTGTTTTAAAACCTAAACTTATCACTTGAAAATCCTTCATCTGACCACATTCCATCCTCAAAACATTTTTTACTTTGTGGCAAAATGTTATTTCCTGAACTAAAAGGAAACTAATTGTTTAGCATCAAAATAACAATAGCCAAATGCCAAAACTTTTATACTCTTGCTGTATGTTATAAGTAGATATAAGTTTATCTCATCCCATGCTTGAGATATCTTTTAACAGATATGTAAGAATGTAACTGTTGAGTAGATGTGTTTTACAAGTATACACCTATGTGCAGGAAAAGATATTTCTCTGAATGTGTGTGTGTGTGTGTGTGTGTGTCCATGCACCTATTTTCTTAAGAAGTGAAGGCCATTGCTTATTGAAAAGGAAGTAATTCACATCTTGGGAATTGGTATTTGAAATTATTAACAAATTCCTATTCTAGCAAGGCTACTGAGCATTGCCCATTGTTAAATTTGTCACAATTTTGATTTTTATCAGATCCACATTTAAATAATTAAATGAATGTATTTGATGACAGCAGAACACGGCTTTTCTTGAAAATGGAAAAAAATAATTTGCCATTTTTAATTGATGTCTTTTATTTATTGATGTTCATTTATTCTATTTGCTGATTACCATTTCCTTGACTATTACTTGTTGGTCAAATTTCTTGCTTGCCAACATACAATTTACATTTATATAAGTGTTATATAGGAATAAAGTGTCACTGTCGACACTGGAGTTTGAACACAGATTGCCAGAGAGCAAACACAGGCGATCCCATTATTGAATTAAATGAATCACATGACTATGAAGGGAAACGCATTAGTAGGAAGTAGCGTGATGTCTAAACGATCACCATTTCTATTCTCTCTTCTATTACTATACGGATCACTCTTTCTACACTATCCTCTATCTTTATACTATTCATTATACTATTTCTCTATCTGGATCGCTTTACGAATTACTATTTGGCGGTTACTTTTCGAGCAAGTATTATTGAGCAAGCACTATTAGTATCCGTCTATATTTCTGAGATGAGGTATTATGTACACTGTTTACATTATTCGGACTATTGTCCTCATCTTTGTTGCCATATTTATTACGTTTCAGCCGTTGTATACTTCGGCCTTCTTCAGGTAGTTGGTATGTCAAACTGAACCCTTTATTTCACTCACTGATGTAGACTGTTCTAGTTCCATGTAACATCCATTAAACATAGCCGGAGCATACAACGGCCGAAACATTGTAATAAATATGGTGACAAAGATGAGGACAATAGTCCGAATAATGTAAATAGTGTACAAGTACTATTAGTGTGACTGTTATTCAAAGGTGTCTGACACAAGCATTGTTCAACGGCATTACTATAGTTGTATCTACTACAACAAGCATTACGAAAGTGACAACGAGTATTCATTGATATTACAAGAGTGGTGAGTGTTCATTGACATCACAAAAATAAGAATCATTATTTTCTAATATTATTCTGTGAACCATCATCCATTTGTCTTGAGAAATAATTATTTTTTTAATCATTTTACTCCAAGTAAGGCAATAAAGCCACTAAGATGCAATGGGTTACTGAGTTTTAGAGAATATGAGAAAGAAGAACACTATTAAGAAGATGGAAGATAATGATTAATAATGCATTTAAGTTTTTGAAGATCATTGACAGGGAAGCCAAAAGAGAGTTCCACAAGTGAGAAGTGCGAAAGAAGACACTATTAGCATAGAACTTACAGTTCCATCTAGCCAGTTCAACTGTGAATTGACGAGACTTTGCTGGCAATTTAGTACTGCACTTAAATTCATAAAGTTTAGGTATCATAGTCAACTAATTTGTCATTTTAATTGAATTTTTTTTATTTATTGATGTTTTTTTATTCCAATTGCTAATTGTCATTTTCCTGAATATTACCTGTTGGTCAATTGATTGATTCATTCATCTTTCTATGGCTTATCAACCCTTTGCAGGTTATTTGAAGCCACAAAATATTTTTAGATTGTAAGAATTTTTTTTTAATAATAATGGTTTAGTGATACAAGTCTTACTAATTAACCCATAGCTGGGGAGGGGCAAAGAGGTGAATTCATACCTTTCCCAAGAATATTTGTGCATAAGTTAATATAATGAACCCAATGGGAAGTGGAACTTGATCTCCAATTAAAAATTTCTGAGCCATTATCCATTACACCTCCTGAACATCCAGTCTTACAGAATCTGGTATTCCCAAGCAGTCATCCATCTTGGTACTGACCAGGCTCAACATTGCTTACATGATTTGAGTATAAGCCATGATATGTCTTGCTTGCCAGCATACAATCTACATTTATATAATAATTTTTATTTTCTGATATTATTCTGTGTACTAGCATCTATTCGTCTTGAGTGATGATGGTAAATCACAGAATGCTACAGTTTTGGGTAGGGGCTGTGGAGATCTTAGCCTCTCCATACATCAAGATTATCCTCTTCGTTGTGTGAGTAGCATTTGTGTGTCAGCCTCTCTTTCCCTGGAGATGCTCATAAAGCAGTGGGAGTTTGAATTTAGACTTTTCCTTCTCCTATATGCAAATTACAAATCAGAGATACAAAAATCAAATAAGTACAACAATTTAAATATCTTGGAATTGTTTGCACACAGGACGGAAAGTTGTATTGGGATAGCCAAAGATGCATTCCAAAAGCTAAGCAGAGTATTAAGAAACAGAAAAACTTTGTTAGAAACAAAGAAAAGAGTACTGAACTGTTACATAACATCTGTCCTCCTATAAGGCAGTGAATACAGAAGGAATCATAAAAGTGACTTCAAATGACCACACATTTCGACTTAGCCTTTTTTTCCTGTTATCCAATGGTTGTTGTCAGATAGATATCGAAATTAGCCTTTAAGACACAGATATTCATTTACAAAGATGTCATTTAAATTATGTAATTGAATACAGAAGGAATCATAAAAATGACATCAAAGGACTACATATTTCGACTTAGCCTTTTTTCCTGTCTTCCAGTGGTTGTTGCTAGACAGAAAGGGAAATTCGCATTTGGGACACAGATATTCATTTACACAGACATCATTCAAATTGTGTAGGTACATGTATATTTTCATTCAATGATAGACCTAAAATATTTCTACAAAATTAAAAAAATAGCTTTAAAAAATAATTCTAGTTATTAGCAAAAATAAATCTTTATCATCTTTAATTCAAAAATATGTAACCACTAAAATAACACTGACAGTAATTAGAAATGCCATATAAATGTGAGAAAATAGAATGAATAGTTGAAATACAGGTGTCATAAAAATGACTTCAAAGTACTACACATTTCAACTTACACCTTTTTCATGTTACCCAGGGGTTGTTGCCAGATATGGAGCAAAATTAGACTTTGAGATGCAGATATCCATTTACTTTTCATTCAAATTGTGTGCTCGCATGTATATATTTAATTTGATAATAAACTTAAAATATTTCTACAACTTTTTTTTATAAACGGAAGCTTTAAAAAAATATGCAAATAAATTTTGAAAAGGAGGCTTTAAAAAATTCAGCAAATAAATTTTGAAAAGTTCAATAAAATCATATAATTTTTTTAATAAATTATTGTATTTTTTGCTTTCAAAGGGAAGGTTTGTTTCTAAAATATTTAATTACACTTTTTCCTGTTACCCAAGGGTTGTTGTCAAACAGAAAGGGAAATTAGCCTTTGAGACACTGATGCCCATTTAATTTTCATTCAAATTGTATGTGCACATGTATAGGTTAATTCAATGATAGGCCTAAATATTTTTGTAAACAAAAAGTTTTAAAAAATACTTAGTTATTAATAA